AAAATTTGACAAATATTGGGGAGAATGCAATTTGTTGATGGCTATTGCAAGTGTTTTGGATCTAAGGATTAAATTAGATGCTATTGAGATAACCTTCCTATTGATATGTAAATCAAAAAGTGAGGCTAAGCAAAATGTTGAGAAGGTAAAAAAGGCATTGCATGATATGTATATTGAATACATGAAGTTGTGTAAAGAAGACCCATCCTTAGATGTTGGAGGTGTAAATGTTGATGGCATTGTCACTTCACAAGTTGCTAAACAAAGAAGAGATAATATAGGAATGCAACGAATGTTATCAATGGTGCGTCAAAGACATTCAATTCCTCTTACCAGATCAGAGTTAGAAATTTATCTTGAGAATGATCCTTATATTCCTTCTATTAATTCTACTACTTCTTTCTGTGCCTTGGATTGGTGGAAGAGCAATAGTTTTAAATTTAAAGTTTTATCAAGGATGGCATTTGATATTAACTATTCCTATCTCAATTGTGCATCAAAATCTACATTTAGTGCCGAAGATAGGATAATTGATGAATATCATGCTAAATTGAATGAAAAGTCTATTGAAATTCTCATATGTGGTAGAGATTGGCTTCGTAATAAATATAGGTTGAAGAGAAAACAAAAGGTAAGACCCTTGAATATGTTAATTTTTTTAATGGTTGTTTTAGACAAGTATTCAAATATATCTCTATTATTAATTGATTTTTTCATTATGTAGGATTCATCTGAGCAAGAAGTGATACTATTGAGGACTTAATTGGTGTTGCACTTTGCATTTGGGTGTTCAAGGCTTCTAGTTGTTGCTAGACTTATATTGCTAAAAAAACTATTAGCTTTTCTTTTTGGATTTCATCCTGTTATAACATATTTCTATTTAAGACGTTATTGTTGATGTTACTTGATGTTTTTTGTTCCATGTTTCTTTTTTTCTTGTTTGTTGAATTTTAATTAGATTATATTCTTCTTGAATTTTAATCAAATTATGTTACTATAGGTTAAGCCTATTTAAGGCCTTTTAAGTCTTAAAAGTATGCCTACTTAAAAGGCTTACTTTTAAATAGGCTTTCAGGCCATGTAAGCTTTTGATAGGCTCAGGATTAAGTTGTATAAGAAGCTTTATATAGGCTTCAGGCCAGGCTCAGGCTTTTGGCTTACCATATAAGCTCAAGCCTATTTAGCCAAAACTCGGCCTAGCCTGACCTATTTTCACCCTTAGTTGGAGTAAGGAAATTGGGGTTACTTTGTCATGTATGTCATGTATGCTTGATTTGGATTACTTGCATGTTTTAAAGGTAAGCTATATATATATATATATATATATGTTGTTGGAAGAAATTTATGATGTTTTGGGAAATAATAATTTTTCATATATGTAATGAAATTATTGTGGGCTGAAATGGTACCAATTATTATAGGCTAAAATGATGCCAATATATATCATAGAATTATTATAGGCTGACATGATGCTAAAACCTTTAAATTTGAAAGCTAAAATGATGCCAATTATTGCAAGCTTAGATGATAACAATACAATGAAGTTATTGTACATTGAAATGATGTCAATGCCTTTAAATTTTATAGGTTGAAATGATGCCAATACCATGGAATTGTTGTAGGCTAAAATGATGCCAACACCTTTAAATTGTATAGGATGAAATGATGCCAATTATTGTAAGCTGAAATGATGCCAATGTCTTTAAATTTTGTAGGATAAAATGATGTCAATTATTGTAGATTGAAATGATGCCAATACCATGAAATTATTGTAGGCTAATATTATGCCAACACCTTTAAATTTTGTAAGTTGAAATAGTGCTAATATTTTGTTTTTATTGTAGAGTGAAATGATGTCCATCATTATGATATAGCCACCACCAAGGATTCTGTGGTTAGCAATTTGTCAAGCTCATAGACACCTCCCTTATCCTTTGACTAGGATTGAGGTAGAACTTTAGAGATAACATAACAGCTTTTGAGCCTACAAGGTAAGAGAAGGGCCCTAACCTAGGGAGAGTTATGTGCCTTTTGGGTAAGTTACATCTCTCGAGTAGTTTCAAGTCCTGTTAATATAGTAAAGGAGGTTATAAGGGTTAACAGTTCAGGTTATAATATTTTGTTCATATTTTTGTTTGGAAACATTTTCTTCATAAACTGCGTGTGTGTTATTTGTTTGCTTCACTATCTTGTATTACATGCCTGCATACCTTTCAACTTAAATACTTGATTACTAAAATTTTGTCTCCTCTTATAGTTTAATATTTTTAGGTGAATGTTCTAAGGGTGGACCATAGGGAAGGACACATGAGGCATATATTATAAAGTAATTATTTGTTTGCCTAATTTTGTGCATGCGACTTGTATATTGCCATTTAAGGCTCACTCACTTTGATTTTTTATGATTGAATTTGGATTTGCATTAGTTGAGATTTTTGATTGATTGCATGATTGATTTATGCCTCATTTGGTACAAAGAAACCATTTTCGAAGGAAGTGAAAGTAGAATTGGACTAGAAGTGGGCTTAAAAAATGTGTTTGGTATGTTAGAAATTCAAATGAAACTAAACCAAGTTTTTAAATAAAAAATAAATTACACAGATAAAAGTTTAAGTAAAAGACTTTTTACCCTTCATGAAAAACCAAAAAAAACCAAACAACTAACTTTTTTTTGATCGAAAGCAAAAGCAATCTGGGACTCTGAAAAAGCAACGTGGAATCTCAGCATGTTTCAAAAATCTTCCACAATCTCATTGTTTGACAGAGGCATCGACTGCGACTTCTTGTTTGCAAATGGTGACACCATGTTCTTCAACGGCAACACCACGTTCTGCGACGGCGACACCATGTTCTCCAACTGGGACTGTGATTTAGTTCTTTATTTTTTTAGGGTTTAGGGTTTAGGGGACAAAGTTGTGATAAGATTTTGATGAATACAGGGATTCTCCTCATTTATTTTTGCCTTTTGTTTTTGTCTGTTTGATTTGTGGTATGATTAGGTGTAGTTTGTTCAATTTATTTGTTGTAAATGTAATTGATCAGCATCTTCAACCTCTTTGCTCTGCCGCAAAGTCTGCTTGCTCTTGTTTGACTAGAGTGTTCATGGTTGAGGGTGTGAATTTTGATCGATCAAGTGGGTTTCTTTTGATATGGAGGATGGCCAATGTTGTCCTAAAAATTCATAACTTAGGGTATTGTTGTCCAAAAATTTTCATTTTCAAGAACCCATCTTAATTTTATAGGTATACCTAAGGAACCCAGTTCCATCAAATTTGATGAAAGTGGGTTCTAGGTGGAAGTGAGTTCTAGCATACAAAATAGTTCAATTTTTAGATTTCACTTCCACTTTTTTAACTTCAGTTCTAACATATCAAACGGGGTCATTACTTTCTATAAATTGGGTTGTGTGCCAATAGATATGGCTGGAGGTCAAGACTTTTGTCTGGAATATTGTGGGTCCACAACTTTATTTATATATGAATGAGCTATTTTGTTATAAAATTTGGATTTATGGGTTATGGTCTTGGAATTGTGGATGTCTTGTGTTTTGATGGCATTGTGCGTTTTGCAGTATATGCGCGCGCATTTTTATAAAGGTTTTATCCTATTAACCATGGTAGACCTTGATATGGATCTTTTTCTTTTTACCATGATTAGCTTGCATGATATTTAATATTAATCAAACTCTTTCTACTATTTTAGTTCAATTAATTAAATTTATTTATTTTCTACCATAGCAAGGTCTTTATTGTTTATGAAATTATTTCAGGAAAGTTCTATTATATTTACTATGATAGGTTCTTTTCTACTATATTATGATTATTTAGAATTTGAGTTAAAGATGTTTAATTCTTTTAAACATACAAGCTTTCAAGAGTTTTAGTTCGTTTCTCTTTCTACTATGGTTAGTGAATTTGTAAATAAGTTTAATTCTTTTATCATGGTAATCTTTATTTATGTGTTTAGAACTTTTGTTACCATGATAATATTTTAAGTGTTCGGATTAATTTGGGAGAGTATTACAAAACTCAATTAAACTCCTTTTGTCTAAGAAAAACTCAATTAAGGTAAAAATATTAAAAAAATTCAAGTAAATTAGATTAATTCCAACCAAAATCAATTTTGCAAAATTCGTTGAAACACAACCTCAATGATTCAACTACAATACCAAGAGTTTTTGAAAAGTAAATTTAGAAAGTAGAGTATAATTTGACCATGATATCTCAAGTATAATCTATTATTCTTTTATTTAAAAAATATTGTTAATTCATTAAAAATATAATAATTATTTAAATAATAATTATTAGAAATCAAGTTGTTAGCATTATACATTGAATAATTAATCATGTTAATTTTTAGGATTGATGAATATTAAACTATTTATAAATTTTTTGTCCAATAAATCAAATTTTATGTTTTATACTTTTATTATTTAATATATCAAATTTTATATTATTTAAAATTTTATCAACCAATAAAGATTTGTCTAGTTGATTAAATTTTTTTGAATAAAAAATGTATCATATATATTTTTTTGAATCATGTTAATTTTTCATTCTAATGTATGTTGAGCTATTTATTATATGATTTTTCCAACATATCAAACTTTATATTTTTTATTTTTATTATTTATCATATTAAATTTTATGTTATTTTAAAATTTTTTTAAATTTTTTAAACATTTCTAATATATTATATTTATATAACCAAAAATATAAATTATTATAAATCAATGTTCTTTTTTGTCATTAGATATTTAAAAGCATATTTTAAAAGTATAAATCATTGTTAATCTAAACAACTTTTAATTTATCAAACTGACTTTTAAAAAAATATATTTAAATACAAATTTTATTACAACAATAGACTTTTATTAAATTGACTTTTGTCAAATAAACTTTTACAAATAAATTTTTGATAAATTAAAAGCCAAACACACACTAAAAGTGCTTGCTTCATGAAAAATAAATAACAATGGCCTGACAAAGCTATATATGATTTTAAAGAAGTGATTTGGCATGATTGTCAGCATAATCTTGAGCCCAAGCCATGTTGAGTCGTTCACGACATTGCTTCAACTTCGTATGTTGTTCTTCAAGATTCTTTTGCATCAATGGCAAAGCAACAGTTGGATTCTTGCGTAATTCCTCTATAGCGTCAAGACCATGCTCACCAAATATACGTTCCATGATCCTCAAATGTGAAACCCTAAAGTGTTCTTCAACACAAATTGGACCCGCCTTCACGTTGATCTTATTCTCAAGTATGTTCTTATTCACTTCCTTAACACGTTCAGAGGCTGACCACAGAGACTCTAATAACATGTCCACTTCAAACTGCTCATCTTCAAATTTGAACAGTGCTTGCTGATACTTATTGAACATTCTCTTGGATTTCGAATAATCCTGAGGGCCTTGAGGATTCAATACGTAGCGATCGTTTAACACTGAAGCATCAAGCTCAGATCTCATATGACCATCTATAGGACTCTGATAATGCTTAGGCAAACGCACGTAGCTGAAATCATAACGTTCACATTTGCCGAGATCGATTTCTTGAACTGATGATTTTCCATCGCCTTTAGTTTTCTTCTTCCTTGGCTTCTTTTGAACATGAATCTCAGATTTGTCAACCTTATTAGGCCGATTGAGACGTTGTTCAAAAGAAGGAGGGATCTTATATCCATTGGGCAAGAAGGTGTTTAATCCCAAAATCAAAAACTCATGCCCCTCCAATACTTCCTTCATCTTTGCTGAGAAATCTCCAACGTTAATCCTGCGGGGGGAAAAAATGTATATATATACGTTTGTAGACTTGAATATTTTAATTAAAGTTGAAAAAGAAAGGAAAAAAAAAAAGAATTTTAAAACAATAGTTAAAAAGAGGGTTATTTTAATGAGAAAAACTTATATACACAGCCTTATATATTTAAGGTTCTTGTTCATTGTTCTCAATTAAATTAATACATATTAATTTTTAATAAATTATTTATTTCATAAAGAGCTCTTATTAGTAATATTATTAACACATTAAAATCTACTGATTGGATAAAAAAATATTAAATATATAATACTAAGTATCTAAATCTTACCTTTTATAGTTTTATAAAGGGAAAAGTTGCAAAATATAGGATGAAAATAAAATAAAAGATGAAAAAAAAATATAGACAACAAAGATATTGGGAGGCTTGAGTTGTTTTACGCACACAACGGATAAAATTGAGTTTAATAAATTATATATAATGCAATGAGAGGATTCATGAACTCGAGATACTTTTCATGTTCTTGTTCTTTACTTTTTTCTCTCAGTTCCTTTTAATTTCTTGTTGTTTAATTTTTTTTAAATTCTACTTATTTTTGTGCAACAATCAGCTAAAGGAACCGATAGCGAGGCAGGGAGAATTATATGTTTACTTATAGTTACAAAATATCAATAACTGCTCTTTTGGTTTCTTGTGTAAAAAGGTGTGGAGATAAGTTTACCTTTGAGCCTTGAAATCTCTGAAGATTTCTAAGAACAGATCATATTTTCCCCTTTTGCTGTCAAATGCTTCTCTCACTGCTCTCAAATAGTTTAACGCATCCATAGTTTGTAAGCCAATATACGATTCACCAGCATGGGCATCGCTCGCAGTTATTCTCTTCATTGTCTCGTTTCCTTGATTTTATAGCCAAAAAAAAAAAAAAAGGTCAGGAAATGAGCAAATAAATAAATAAGTGAAACAAAAAAGAACAAATTGAACCAAAAAGAGGAAGGTTTAAATTCTTACTTGACGAAAATCTAATTGCTGATCTATTACCCTTTCTATGGATGGAAGGATCGATCTTCAAACAAACCTGAGAGATTTATATAGTTAAGGAAGCAATTACGAGAGGAAGAGTTTAGGAATGAACAAATAGGGTTATTCGCTATTTATAACTGAAATTTGAACTCCTTATTTCTCGTTAAGATAAACTATAAAATATTTGGAATTTACTTTCCTCTTCCTACCTATCTCTTCTTATCTTCTCAAATCTTGGATTTAAATTTCAATGGTTGAGATTTAATATTTTATATTATTATTGTTAAATAATAAGTATATAAATTTTAACCATTAAATTTTATAATATATTATTTAGCATTATTCTTATTAAAACATTTATTATTTAATATTATAATAATAATTTTATAAAGCATTAAATCTTTGAAGATGAAATATTTATCATGAAGTTGAGCAGTTGAAATTAACGGACTAGATTTTATATAGGGAAAATTATACTTAGATCTCACATAAAGAAATTTATTATCAAGAGCTCTCATAAAATTCATAAAATACTCTTAATGTATTTTGCACATTTACAACTTGACTAAATGTATTAATAATTGGGCAATGGTTATTTATAACTTGTAAAGAAAAAAGACAACTTGTAACAATAAGTTGTTAATGACCATTGCTCAATTATCAATACTCTTAGTCTAGTTGTAAATGCTCAAGATTTAAAACTTAAAAGTATTTTATGAATTTTATGTGATCTTTGGGTAATAAATTTTCTTATATGGGACTTGAATGTAAGTTCTCCTTTTATATAAGTATGTTATAAAATTTCTTTTCGAATTATTGTTTAAAACTTAAAAGTTGTTATTATATTTTATATCAGTTGAAAAGCTTATCTTTTTTAACAGACTAAAGTTTTTATAGATTTTATTAATAATCACCACTTGTTACATCCTTATTTCATTTTATTTATATCATTTATATAAATAGTCTCATATATAACTAATTTTTAAAATATTATTTACACCATATATGGTATCAGATATTACTTAAGGCTGAAATTATTTACATCATTTATTCGTTTATCTTAAGGCTCAAATTTCTCGTCCATTTTCCCCTCGCCTCACCTTATTCCTCCACATTCCTCCTCCTTGTTTGTTTCGAACGTCATCAACTTTACTAAAAATATCAAATAGATTTATTGCAAAAATTATATTTAAAAGTATTTCATGGGAACTTCTTTGGAGGCATGCATTCAAATGGGATAATATTAACTTTTGATCCATAAAGTTTCTCTCAATTATCAATTTAGTTATTAAATTTTGACTCAATAAAACTCAATGCTTGTAGTTTATTGAGTTAAAAAATTATGGAGATATATGGAATAATATACAACTAAAAAACTATAAAGATTGAGTAATATCAAATTAAAAAAGATTAAATTGTTTTGAGTCTATAAATTATAAGGACTCATAATTGAATGATAATTGAGGAAAAGTTCATGGACTAATTTTTCCCCCATTCAAATTATTGTTAATCAAATTTATTATACCAGTTTCTATGAATATATACAATCTTAAATAATTTTTTCCTGATTTGGGTAAAATACGGTGATCTCCCTTCTGTTTTGTTAAAATTATAGAGACTTATTTTCTATTTTCAAAGCCTATACTTTAATCCAATAGCACTGTTAGTAATATTCCTTTAAAGATTAAAAAATAATATATTTTTATTTTTAATTATGTTAAAATTTTAAAAATTATTAATTTTTCCTTATAATCTAATTGTCTACTCTCTCCCACAACTTGAACAATTTTAGATAATTAAGTGTGTCAATATTTAGTTAAATAATTTAAAAATTTTTGTGTTAAAATTAATTAAATTTAAAGAAAAATAAATATAAATTATATTGAGCAATTTTTTTATTAAATTCTTATTTCACCATTTTTTGGTAGACTATTTCATGAAGTTTTTAACTATGGGATTGAATATTATTTTTGCCAGTTTATATATTTAATTTTTAAAAATTAATAAATAAACACATATACATAATTAAAAATTTTGAATAAAAATAAAAATAAAATATATACATTAATTTTTTTTGATAGTTTGAATAATTTTTAAACAATATTTATATTTAAAGGGGAGTTTTGGATGAATGGAAATAAAGTTCAAGTTATATAATTTTACAGTTAACTAATAGTTGGATGAATGAAAATAAAATTTTAAAAATAGAGGTAATGTTTTTCTAACTCTTCATACTGGGGGATATTTGTATAGGTTTTTAAAATAGAAAGAAGATATTTGTAATTAACGTAAAATATAGGGAAGTCAGAGTATTTTTAAACATTTTATTACAATTTTTTGTGAAATTAATTTAAAAATTTTTAAACATTGTTATAACTTTATGTTAATTTTTTACTCATTATATTTACGTATTATAATTTTTAATTCACTTGATTATTGTGAAGTATTTAATAGTTATGTTCCTATTAAAGACCATTATGAAGTGTTTATCATGAATTTGAATGATCTAGACTAATTTGTTTTGAAAGACTTATCTTTTTTACAGAAAAAATTGTTATAATTTTTCCTACCACTATTAGTTAAACTATTTTCTTAAAAAAATTATATCATATAATGATAGAAGATCTAGAAAGCCAATTCCAAAATACTAGTCAACTAAGAGGAAAAGCCTCTTGAATTTATAAAGTCTACTTCACTTATGAGTCTCTCTAATATAGGACTCATTACAATGTCACCTCATTGAGATACGACTTCCCTAACAATAACTTCACTTTACGACACTTCATTCGATCTTTTAGTGATGAGGACCTTTCATGGGTAGTTCTTTGACTTCTTTTTGTGATCTAAAATTTTGTAATGAAAGCATCAATATCATGAATACAAGTCAAAAAGATTACCTTATTAGGTGAAAGAATCCCTCACACTCATAAACCTCACTTAACTTATGAGACTCATGATAATGCCACAACAAAATTGTTCAAATGTTCAAATTCTTATTGTTCGAGGCCCAAGGTTAGGCTTGAAAATGTTTTTATTTTTTTATTGTCTTTTTGAAATTAAATTTGTGATTATAATATTACATATTTATATTCCAAAGTACAAATTAAATTGTTACAAATTCTAACATAAGTAATACAAATTCTAATTTGAAAGTTTCAATTTAATTCAAAAATATAAAACATTACAAATTTTCAGGGTTAAAACAAATGGCAAGGGCTTTAATGGGTAGTCCAAGCACGTTTTTCGAGAACTTAAGAGAGCCAGCCTCAAAAGCTTTTTTTTTTTAATATTAAAATATCCCAATTTTCATAACTAGAGCCTGAAAAAAAAAAAAAAGAAAAAAGTTTTAAACAAGTAGCCTGATGAGCCAACCTTTATTCGTAGCCCTGCGAGATGTTCATCCTTTCTTCGTGGTAATATTTTTCAGTTCTCACAAAAGTTTATGTCTCTTTCAGTGAAGTCATCTTTGCAACTGGTCTTCCAAAGGTTCCTGCATAAAACTTGAACAAATTAATAGTCTTGACCAAATGATTTTCCTTGTACACGAGCTTCCTGCAGCCTCATTATTGGCTTTCCACAAAATCCAATGTCACAAAGAAAAAGAAAAGAAAGAGTCAAGTTTTGCATGCTTTACAAGTTTTAACTAAACTTGTTTAGATTTAGGACAGCCCTGAGATACTTTTGTATTTTCCTTCCTGCGACGACAAGCTGAGTCCCCATACATATTGGTGTTTTATATGTAGTTTTAAAATAAGTCAAACTATTTATACATACATATATATATATATATATATAACTTGAAGAATGTAATTTATTGTATATTTTATATAAATATACTCTCGCGACATACACCCACAAACACGTGCATGTATATGTGTAATATATATTCTTCTCCTTGCAGGTCATCGTTCAACCGTTCATTCGAACCTGTGACATGTGGGAGGATAATCAACACTCTTGAACCAACATGACACTGAAGGATGCTTAAAAAAATAAATCTTCTCCTTTTCATTAGTCCTGTCCAAAATAGAACTTCAGCCTCTGCCCCCTCCAAGTGCTTCAAATGCAACAATTTCATCTTTGTATTCATAAACCATAAATAATACGGTTTATCTTAGAATTTATGCATATTGTATGAGCAAACATGTCTAGTTTAGTCCAATCAATTGCAAAATTCCATCTAGAACAAACGAGGAGCCTATAGCATGTTGCACATACTTTTTCAAATGAGAACTGTACAGAAGAAAAGGCCAAATTGAGCCAAAACAAACCCAAAACAAGCAGAGAAAATTACATCAGAATTCTAAAGTTCCAAAAGGAGCTGAGTCTGCAATTGGCAGCTCTGATCTGGCTTGAGAAGGAATAGTATCCACAGTGAAAGAATCAGCATTGAAGAGTCCGCAATTTCTTACTTGCCATAATTTCCAGCACACTATGCCGATTCCAACCTTCCTTGAATCGTCCAATTGAGACAGTTGAAGACATTGAGCTAGCCAAGAATTAATACCTTCTCTGTAGAAATCAGTGCCCATATCAGAAGGTAGGACGTTTCTCCAAACATTTGCAGCCAGAGGACATTCTTTGGGAATATGAATTATGTTCTCAACAGGTGCATTACAAAGTGAACATTGCTGATCCTGTGTTATTCTTCTCTGAAATCGTTCAGAGTTAGTGAGCAAGCAATCTGCTTTTCATCATAAGCCAGACAAAGGTCTTGACCTGTTGAGCCATAGGAAGCTTCCATATTTTTGTACAAATATCATCTTCATTCCAAGTCTGACTTTTGACTTGACAGTGAAATTCCCATTTGTATTGAGATTCCAAGTACAGCTTGCTTCTGTATCAATTTGAGTGAGATATTAGCAACAACAACAACAACAACAACAAGCCTTTATCCCACTAGGTGGGGTCGGCTACATGGATTGCAAGACGCCATTGTGCTCTATCATTTATTAAGCTTTTAGAAATATTATTAATTAAGAGATCACGTTCAACAACTTCCAAGAGTGTTCTCTTAGGCCTTCCTCTACCTCTCTTAATCGGACTCAAAGTTATATGTTCCACTCTTCTCACTGGTGCCTCCCTTGGTCTTCTTTGTACATGCCCAAACCATCTCAACCGATTTTCTACCATTTTTTCCTCAATAGGTGCCACCCTCACTTTTTCACGTATGTGCTCATTTCGAATTTTATCTTTACGTGTATGTCCGCACATCCATCGTAACATTCTCATCTCTGCTACTCCAACTTTATGCTCTTGCTGTCCCGTTAGAGCCCAGCATTCACTACTATATAACATTGCCGGTCTGATAGCAGTACGATAAAACTTTCCTTTAAGTTTATTAGGCACCCTACGGTCACAAATAACTCCTTTAGCTTTTCTCCAATTAAACCACCCAGCTTGAATTCTATGTGAAATATCTCCACTGATTTCGCCATCATTTTGAATAATGGCTCCCAAATATCTAAACTTTTCCACTTGAGGTATAATTTGATCTCCCAATTTCACTTCGAAATTATTTTCGAATAGTCCTTTACCAAATTTACAATATAAATATTCCGTCTTACTTCTACTCAGACGAAAACCTTTCGACTCCAATGTCCTCCTCCATAACTCAAGTTTGCAATTAACCACTTCTCTTGTCTCTGCTATAAGAACTATATCATCCGCAAAGAGCATACATTTCGGGATTTCCTCTTGAATATGTTCCGTCAAAACATTTAAAATCAAGTTGAACAAATAAGGACTCAGAGATGATCCCTGATGTAGTCCAATCTTTATAGGAAAATCCTTTGTTTGACCACAAGGCGTTCTTATACTAGTTTTTACCCCCTCATACATATCTTGTATGGCTTTAATATAAGCAATCCGTACTCCCTTTTTTTCCAACGCTTTCCAAAGCACTTCTCTTGGTATACGGTCATAAGCTTTTTCCAAATCAATAAAAACCATGTGTAGATCTTTATCTTTACAACGATACTTTTCCATTAATCCCCTTAGTAGATAAATCGCCTCTGTAGTTGATCTACCTGGCATAAAACCAAATTGATTCTCAGAAATACTTGTCTCCAATCTCAACCTGTGCTCAATTACTTTCTCCCACAATTTCATTGTGTGGCTCATGAGTTTAATCCCTCTATAGTTAGTACAATTCTGAATATCTCCTTTATTTTTATAAATAGGAATTAATGTACTTCTCCTCCACTCATCAGGCATTTTCTTGGACCGTAAAATCACATTAAATAACTTAGTTAACCATCTCACCCCTTCTTCACCTAAACATTTCCACGCTTCGATAGATATACAATCAGGTCCGTTAGCTCTACCATTTGCCATTTTCTTAAGAGCTTCCTTTACCTCCTTATCACGTATTTTTCGATAGAATGACAAATTTTGTTCTCCTTCACCAGTTACTAAATCCTCCAAGTTACTAGATGAATCCTCTCCATCATTGAAAAGTTTAGAAAAATAAGTCTCCCATCTATTTTTAATTTCATCATCTGTAACTAAAATTCTTCCCTCTTCATCCTTAATACACCTTACCTGTTCTAGATCTCTTGATTTTCTTTCCCTACTCTTGGCAATCTTATAAATATTTTGCTCTCCTTCCTTCGTCTCAAGGTTCTTATAAAATTCTTCAAAAGCTTTGGAACGAGCTTCACCCACAGCTCTCTTAGTTTCCTTCTTAGCCATACGGTACCTCTCCCAATTTTCCTCATTGTTACACAAATGTATGGCTTTAAAACAGTTCTTCTTATACTTGATTTTGTCCTGTACACTATTATTCCACCACCAAGACTCCTTATCTCTCGGACCAGAACCTTTCGATTCTCCCAAAACTACTTTTGCAACCTCCCGTATCTTTTTAGCCATATCCTCCCATATGATGTTAGCACTTCCCTGAGAATCCCAAATTCCTTTATCCAAAAGATTTTGCTTGAAAATATCTTGCTTCTCACCTTTTAATTGCCACCACCTAATCCTTGGTGTTACTACTTGTCGACGTTTTTGGATTTTACTCATAATACACACATCAAGGACTAGGACCCTGTGTTGTGTCGTTACAGCATCTCCAGGGATCACCTTACAATTTTTACAAAGTTTTCTATCTGTGTTCCTAACCAAAAGAAAATCAATCTGCGACCTTGAGGCTCCACTTTTGTAAGTGATGAGATGCTCATCTCTCTTCTTGAAACAAGTGTTGGCAATTTAAAATCATATGCCAATGAGAAATCAAGAAGAGTTTGCCCTTCATTGTTTAGCTCTCCAAAACCAAAACCACCATGCACCCTCGCATACTGACCAGCTTCCCTCCCGACATGCGCATTAAAGTCTCCTCCAATAAAAATCTTTTCACTCTGTGGTATGTGTCGAATCAACCCCTCCAGATCCTCCCAAAATAATTCCTTAAGACTGGCTTCTGTCCCGACTTGCGGCGCATAAGCGCTAACAATATTAACAGTCTCACGTCCAATTATCATTTTTAAAGAAATAATTCTGTCTCCAATTCTGCTAACTTCTACAACGTTCTTCTTCCACTCCTTATCTATAATGATGCCTACTCCATTGCGTGCACTTACTTTTCCTGTATACCAAAGTTTGAAACCTTGAATATCCTTAGCTCTTTCTCCACGCCATTTTGTTTCTTGCAAGCAAAGGATATTGATTTTCCTTTGAATCATAACCCCTACAACCTCTACAGATTTACAATTTAATGTCCCAACATTCCAAGTACCAAATCTAATTTTGCTCTTATGGACTAACTTCTTTAGCCGCGTGCGTCCAGAATGACGCGGTAGCCCTTGCTCATTTAACACTACATCCGGGCGCCGATGCAGCGGCTCTAACTCACTTATCACTGTACTCGAGCCATGCAGCGCGTTACTTACGGGCAACGACCTAGCATTAACATTATAACGTCTATTGTCCATGTTCATGATAGATTCAACAAATTTTTACATTGGCTGTTGATGGCCTAACACAACCCTCCTCCTTTACCCGGGCTTGGGACCGGCTATAAACATAGGCGGAGTTGAGTGAGATATTAGCAATATTATCAAAAATGTCTCTTGGAAGTAGGTTCTGGATGAGGTTCCACTTCCAGTGTCCATCTTCATCAACAAAGTCAGTGAATGGCTTAAGACATTCCTGTTCAGAAATCTCAGCATAAGATAGATTTTTTAAGGGACTAGAGTCACCAACCCAAAAGTCAGACCAGAATTTGAGTCTTTTACCGTCTCCATTTAATATGTACCATTGTCTTGCCAGATATTTGACATATTCCTCCAGAAACGAGAGTATTGTTTCCTACTGATATCATGAGTCATTCCATCAGTGATACTTTGACATAACTGAAAATGCTTCAGGCCCTCTTAAACAAGCATGGATAGCACTATGTCCTCATGTGAATCCCAATTTTGGATGTAAATTAATTGTCCCACACACACACACACACACACACACACACACACAAGTCAAGTCAATAAACTATCAAATTCATCATTAATCTTCGTACAGATGATATACAACAACAAAGAATTACATATAAACAGTTAAAGAAAGAAAATAAAAGAACAATATTATCTGTTTATGAAAGAATCCAAACTTACATGAAACACAAATCAGATATGCATACCACCTATGATTTTGATGACACCTACTCTGACATGATGCTCCTCCAAGATGGAAGAGATGGGATGCTTTGTTCATATCTGAAGAAATTGTTAGGATCTACCATACTCTTAATTTTCACCAATCTATCAAAATTCCCTTTGAAATACTTAGCACCCCAAACACTAGCTACATCATAACTAGCACTATTATCAGGTCTATTGGTACCTATATCAACATCTCTATAGTTCAAATAAGAACTTCTTGGTGATTTTGACACATAAGGTGTCATGTAATCATAGAGCCTTCGAATCAGATCAAGATATTTATTTGCGGCAGGATCACCTTCTTCTTTCCAATTCACTGAGTACTGAATCTTATATATGTTCCCTGCTCTGTGTGGAAATGGTGTTTCCTCCTCTGAAATCTCTTCCATTCTCCCACCATATGCATTCAAATTCAGCACAGGCTTTCCCAATTCCATCATCTTCTTCCATATTCCTTCCAGATCTGTTTTGGAGATTGGATTCTGCACATAATCCGATTTTCTCTTCAAAAATTTCTCTGATGCGGGATGCCTATCAAGCAAAACATCAAGTGAAGTTCCAAGAGGATAATTAGCCCAAAATAGTACTGATTCTATCCAGCTCATTTCAAAGCAATCCTCTTTCTTCAAACCCAGTTCAGGTAATGTGTCAGACATTGCATCAAGCAGCTTCTGTGCATTCCCAAGAAACATAGCATTGAACTTAGCTCTTATCGTTTTGTGACCCTTTTTGTTCACTGGCATGATAACCACTCTAATGAATAGGTCTTTATCCATCTTATCAGCCACATGCTGCCATTGATGAACAATTTCAGTAGCATTCTGTTCTAATGTTTTGTCAACTCTAAAAACTGTTACAATCTCAGGGACACGGACCAGTTTGATTTTCCAGGAAACTATAACACCAAAAACTACCACCTCCTCCTCCTCTAATAGCCCAGAAAAGATCTTCCCCCATTGATTCTCTACCCAAAATTCTTCCATTAGCATCCACTAATTTCACATCCAACACATTATCTACAGTCAAACCAAACTTTCTCATCATATTCCCATAACCACCTCCACTGAAATGGCCCCCAACACCTACAGTAGGACAAACACCAGCAGGGAACCCATGGATCCTGCTCTTCTGTGCGATCTTGTAATACAGCTCACCAATCGTTGACCCAGAGTCAACCCACGCAGTTTCATCATCCAAATCTACCTGTATCGATCTGAAATGAAACATGTCCAAGATCATGAAGTCCGTACGCGAGTACGACGCGTAGGAGAGGCCGTCGTAGTCGTGGCCTCCGCTTCGGACTCTCATTTGGAGGCCATATTTAGTGCAGCAGATGATGGAAGCTTGGATATGAGAGAAATGAGCGGGAGCGACAATGAAGGATGGTTTTGGGGTAGAAGAAGAGTTGAATCTGAGATTTCTAATGGAGGATTGCAAGATGGAGGAGTATGATGGGGAAGTGGGGAAGAAGGTAGCGGAAGAGATTGGAGGTATGGTGGGTTCAGAATGATCAGAGAGGCACTGAAGGATAGAATCATGGGTAGGATCAGAATCAGAAGACGCCATTATTGATAGAAGATGACGGAGAAGGAAGAAGATTGTAGTGAATGATAACGCTCGAGAGCTCATAGTGATACATACAATGATCATTCAGACAATGAAATGAAACAAGCTAGATTCTTCGGAAAAAAAGAGAGGGAAAGAGAAATAGTTCAGAAATTTCGTTGAAGTTGTTAAATTGACATTTGGTTATTGAATTGCGGACGAAGCTCCGGTTTCTTGGTGGGGAAGTAAAGTGTTATAAATATTTTATCATACCGAGTTTCGTGCCGGGTTCCTTAAGTTAATGTGTACACAGTCTCATGTTCCTTTAATTATTTGTTTATGTTCAAAATATAAGTATTTTTTTATTAATTTTAATTCAGAATATAGGCCATTGGTACATGAATTTTTTTTATTTATTAATTCAGATTCTTTAATAAATTTATCTTTTCTTTTTATCTATCATGAAGTGTATTGATAATTAAAATTAAAGATAAAAAATAATATATATTTCTATGTGAATGAAAACTTTTTTGGTATGTATATTTTTCTTAAAAACTGTTTATATTTTGAATTTGATGGAGTATTTTATTGATTAATTTCTAATAATTTTTTTGGTCAGTTAATCCAAATATTTTAGAAAATTACTATGCAATCCCTCAAAACATGCACAGATCAATTATAAATCAAAAAACATTTATTGTAGAATAGAGTTTATATGATTTTATTTTCGGAAAACTTTTTTAGACAATATAATTAAAAAGTAGATAATAGTCGCTTATGATATAATTATGATTTTCAGTTCATAATTGATGTTGACATGTATAGAAGTATTTTGAACATTTTTTAAAAATTATAGCTTTAAGTTCATAATTAATTTGGGCATATATAATGAATATTTGAATATTTTTAAGAAAACTTTTGAGTTTATAATTGATTTTAGAATATAATAGGGGGTTTAGACATATTTGCATAAAACCATGGTTTTACCTTGGTTTTTATTTTTCTTTTCAATTATACTTTTTAATTTTTCTTAAAATCAATTTTATAAATCAATTATACCACATATAATGTAATTAATTATATTAAATTATTAATTAATTTTTTTATAACCAATTTTTATAGACATCCAAACGAGCTCTATATTCATATTTGATTTTAATATATCAGTGGAGTGTTTGGGTAAATTTTCACAAAATTAAACTATGGTTTATCTAATTTTTAATTCTGCTTTTAAATGTGCTCTTTTACACATTTAATAATATGAACTATTGTGTATATGTAAGTAATAATTAGTGTTCAAAATAAAAATAAGCTCTAGTGCTTTTGAAAACAACAAATCAGTTATATATAAATAACAATTTGACTTTAAGGTAATGACAACGCAGTTTAAAGTAAATGAAAACAGGTAAGAAAACAACAATTTGGATATACATAAATAACTTTGGTAAAACAAAAAGATACATAAATAACAAATTATGTGTACGTAAATGACAACTTTTGATTTTATAGAAGTAACAACTTCGATTAAGTTAAATAGTTTAATTAAAAAGGATATTTTAATTAAAAGTTATTTATTTGAATTCATGCAAGAAGTAATTTTGAAACATCTTCTTCTTTAAATTCAAATTTATTTTTGAATTTAATAATTGAATCAAATTTTTTTAGTTTAATTTAATTATAAAAAAAGTAATTTTAAATAATATACATTAAGTATGAATTCTAGATAAAATATTTAAAAAAAATCACTCCAATTGAGTCCTATTTCATGTGCGCCTCTCCGCCAATATTGTCACCTAAACTGTATGTAATCTGTCTTCTAAAACATGCTCATCTTAAAGGTTAATCCAATCCCTTCAACTGTTTATTATATCAAGAAAAATTTTAATTTTTAACTCCCATCCATTTGATATTAAATTCAATTTTATCTACATGTAAAAAATGAAACACTATCAAAATAGTGGAAGGAGATGATATAGTGGAAGGCAATAAAATACGTATAATCATGGTAAGCTTTTGGACTTGGTCAATTTATACATTAAAAAAGACAAACCAGCCATGGCATGTTGAACAAGGTGGTGCATATATACTTCAATTCGCTTCAAGCAACTAATAAACAACTTATAGTTCTCATCAAATTTAAGGTACCTCTTAACCTATTACCTGATAATAAAACATTGTCCCTTTCAATAATGGATATAGAATCAAACCGGTTGGAATTACAAGCAATCTTGAGGACCGAAAATTCCGTTGATTAGAGAGAAGGGGGGCACTTTAGGATGCTAAACCAAGCAAAAGTTTTTAAAATAAAGGAAGCAAAGTTTTTAAAACAAATATTAGTCTAATTTGTAAAAAATTAGCTTATAACTCACAAAGTTATGGAATCAAATCCCATTATACGGATGTAAAGATTTTATTTGTAAACAATCTGTAAGTACTTTTATAAACATAGAGTGTGGAGGCACACCTAAATTTTCTTGTATAAATAATACAAAAAAAAAAGAGAGAGCGAAACAGCAACATAACAAAGCTGATTGTCAAGATTGCTTACATAATAAATATGTTGATCCTCCTTGTAAATATCAGACGCGTAGAGTATATATATTGCCAAAGGATTATAATTGCCCTTATTTTTTGAGGCACGGCCTAATTAACTTGAAGGACGAGTGAGACAGCTATCACACGGTCCTCTCTTCTGCCGCCCACGTTGGTTATCGCCGTCGTCATCGGAGGAACAGCCTCAGCCAGTGCCGGAGCAAATGGACGCTGAGATTGAAACCCATTTTGAAATGCCGCTGATGGGCGAGATCAGAATAGCGAGAGAGAATGAATGTGGAAATTTGATGGTATAATATTAGTGCTCAAGTGAGGGAGACAAAGATGATGTTAGTGGCTTTTTGTAAGTGTGATGGGAAAGTGGAAGAAAGAATGTTCTTTGGCATATACCATGACAGCACATATATATAACTTTGTGTTTTTGCAATTTTTTTTTTTTAAAGTTTAGATGAGTTAAGTTCCAGACTTACTGAAACCAAGACCTATATTCATACTCAAAGAATATTTATTGAGGTACTTAACATATTATTTATTAACAAAGTTTTTATATTAACACTGAGATTTGATTTTGTAATGCTGTAAGTTATGAATTAAATCTTTATTATTAATTGAATCAACTTTTTGTTGATTGTGTTCATGCAAATATATGATCTTGGCTCAAAATCATGGCGCTAATTTAGCACTTATGGAATCTCCTTTGGCATCTCTCACTATGTGGAATATATATACATGGAATGTAGGTGGGCCCATAAAGGAGTATTTGATTAGCTTTCGTGTCTGTGTGTGTATATCCATACAAGGTACATCTGATTTAATAACTACTGCATTTTTAGAATTATTGTTTGAATAATAATTTTGTAGTGAACTACAATAATTTCATCTCCATTTCATCTTAAATTATA